TACGAGCTCTTATAGCCTCGCTATAGCTCCCTTCCGTAAGCCCTCACATATTACTTATTTTTATAGATTTATTTTAATTAAATAAAATATAAATAAAAACTAAAAATATTTTAAAATATTATTTACATATAATTAAGGTAAAAAAAATATATATTTTAAATTTTTATATTAATTATATATATTATATATATATAAATAACATTTAAAAAGCATTTATTTCTTATTAAATACTTAAAATAAATTAAGTTAATATCTTTATTTTTAGAATTCTTTAAACTTTAATATCTTACTTATTAATTAACTTATAAAGGATATTCTTATAGCATTATAATAAGCTAAAACTATAGTATTTTTTAGTTATTTCTATAAGCTTATAAGTCTACTTTTAAAGCTCTTATAATTATATATTACACTATAAATATAATTATAGTATAATTAAATTATACTAAAACTATAAAAATTATACTATATTATAAACTATACTAAAAAACTATATATAGTGTAGTTTTTTTATTAATGCTCTAGGTGCTAGGCTGTAATAAGCGCTGTATTAAATTCGAAACCACCCGTAATTCGAGTTATAGGGTCCCCAGCCCACTATAAATACAGGGGTTTTTAGTGCTAGGCTTGTTGGAAGCCCGCTGTGTGGCCTAACTAGTTGATCAATAATAGCTGGCCTTGCTATCTAGATTTCGGTTGACAAATTATATATAATATATATTAATAGGGTTTTTCTTCTCTTAACCTTTAGTTTTAATATTAAATCCTAGCTTTACACCTGTTAGTTAACGTTATAAATTTATATAATATAAACTACTTGTAAGTTCCCGCTACTATAAAGCACCTTAAGGCACTTACTAATATTAGTTAAAGCAGTTAAATCTTATAGTAACTTAATTACCTTTATAGGTTTATTAGCCTTAGAGCTATAATAAGAAAACTACATTTTTAATTTTTAAAAAAGCTTAAATATTAAACAATAAATCTAATAAAATACTCGAATTATAATAATAAATATATAAATAAGCCTATATAAAAAAGTGGGTTCTTTCGGCTTTTAATAAGCTAAAAAACTCGATTATATAATTTTATAAAAGATTACTATATTATA